GAACTGCCGTAATACATAATGATATACCACACAAATCCTGAAGGTGAGCAGGAGCCTGCCATTCTCTCTTCAGTGGTCTTCCCTACTTCTTATCACGGACAATTAGGGGTATTTAACATGCAGTGACAATATAAAACAGAGACTGGGATTCTATCTATTCAGTTTCCTTTATTCATTGATTTATTACAGCAGTTCTCAAATTTTGGCAACTGGAGGATCCCCATTTTGATTTACAAAATTTTCACAGACCCCCAAGTCCCTTGCTCAGCCCCAGGCCCCGCCCCCCACTCTACCCCTTCCCTCAAGGCCCCACTCTCACCCCACCTCCAAGCACACCCTGTCCCCGCTCCTCCCTCTCAGCACCTCCTGCACGCCGCTGAACAGCTATTCCCCGACCTACAGGAGGCACTGGGAGGGAGCGGAAGAAGTTGATCAGCGGGGCCCGTGCCCCGCTGAAGTATCCTCACGGACCCCCGTTTGAGAAACACTGATCTACTATGTACGTGTCAAAACTCCTTTGTAAAAAATACTTGTAATACAGTTGCATAAGTGTATACTGTGTGATGTGGGACTGCACTTGTACATAGTGCTTTTGTTTCATATAATTTGGACTTTTTTCCACTGCATGTACAACAGTCTTTCCTGTTCAAAACTGCAAAAATTAACAAAAAAAAGATTGATTTTTGCCAAGACTTTTCTGTCTTTGACCCCACAATAAAAAGCATCAAATATCTTGATGTTCACTAACTGCAGGTTACCCATATCATTTCTTGAGATGAGTACACAGGAGGTTTTGTCTATTTTTTTGAAATCCCCTTTTCATGACTCTTCTATAGTTCAGCTTGTCACTTAGGGCTTGTCTAGGTGACTGCTTAGTTTGCAGCAAATTGGAGCATAAATCTACCTTGCATTAAGCGCCTTTGGGGACCCTGCTGCCATGCACTGTAAGTTCTCTAGTGCACTTTAATCGTCCGTTTCAAAGCACGGTAGAGCAAAGAGCACTACAGAACTTTTGTGTGGAGCAGCAGATCCATATAGGCACTTAGTGCTGGCTAACACAAGGTAGATTTACACTCTGGTTTGCTGCAAATTAAGTGTCCATATAGACAGGCTCCTAGTGATATTACCTCCTGCTTCTGACAATAACAAATGATATCTTCACCAACTGCAGGATTGGGCAGCCACACATTCCGAGTTCAACTCTGACTTCTGATTAGAACACACAACTTTCAATTACTTCAATGAAAGTTACATATATTTATCTGAAGGCAAAATTGGGCCCAGATGTTCCCAAATATAATATTTGAAAAGCAGGCATAAGGATGTCAACACAACTGGATACACAGGGGAGAGCCATTCTTTCTGTCTCTCCTGCAATTCTTACAGCAAACATGTTCTGGGTGATGCCTCTCACAGAGAAAGGTTGAAATGTCAGAACTTAAAGGTTTCCTGGCAGTTGGAAAAGCCCCATTAATATGAGTGAGACTCTTGAGTTTCACTGCGCTGAGAGGTTTGAGCTCCTGCCTGACATGATGCAAATAACTCCACCTATTGAGTAAATTCTTATCAGTGAGGCAGTCATTAGCTCCAGGGAGAAAGACAAGTGGGTTTTTCTTTTGAAACCAACTAATTGAAAAATGCTGCAACCCAGAGGACTAAACCAATGTCTGATTGCTCCTCATATTGCTATGCTCCTCATATTAGATGATTCAAAGTTCCTTTAGACTGGGACACTGTAGCCACCACAGTCTGCCTTAGGGTATGATTGTAAGTTAAATCAAGTTATCTATACCTAACTCTTCTCGAATTATCCTATTTTGAGCAAAAGCTGCCCCATCACAAAACACTTTGAGATGCACAAACTGGTTGTGTTAGCAGGTGGCAAGTCATGCTAACTTGAGCTTTCTCTATACCACTTGATGAGCCAACTAAAGTTAAAAGCACCTCCACACTTAAAATAAGGAGTTTTAGAATAATAAGTATTATCTAGACCGTCCCTGACAGGTCTAACCTGATCTTAAAAATCTTCAATGATGGAGATTTCACAACCTCCCTAGGCAATTTATTCCAGTGCTTAACCATCCCTGACAGGAAGTTTTTCCTAATGTCCAACCTAAACCTCCCTTGCTGCAATTTAAATTGCTTCTTGTCCTATGCTCAGAGGTTAACAACAACAATTTCTCTCCCTCCTCCTTGTAACAACCTTTTATGTACTTGAAAACGGTTACCATGTCCCCTCTCAGTCTTCTCTTTTCCAGACTAAACAAACCCAATTTTTTCAGTCTTCCCTCATAGTTCATGTTTTCTAGACCTTCAATCATTTTGTGTGGATTTGACTCAAATTAGGGGGAAAACTCAACTTAATTGCAAGGAGGACAAACCCTAAGGTATTTCCATCACAGACATCTGCACAGCAGCTAGATCAGTGGTCCTCAAACTTTTGTACTGGGGACCCCTTTCACATAGCAAGCCTGTGAGTGCGACCCCCCTTATAAATTAAAAACTTTTAAATATATTTAACACCATTATAAATGCTGGAGGCAAAGCAGGGTTTGGGGTGGAGGCTGACAGCTCACAATCCCCCATGTAACCTCAAAACCCCCTGAGGGTTCCGAACCCCAGTTTGAGAACCCCTGAGCTATATGGTCTCTTCACACAGTTTGCAAAGAATTATTGCTTGGATTAGGCCTGCAGGAAAGAATTTTATTTCAGACTGTGTCCTGAAATTTGTTTCCAATATAGGAGAAGTCAAACGCTCTCCCTGTCAAAAGGTAGGTTTATTTTACTTCAGTTGGCCTGTTTTTTCAAGTTTTCCCATCCTACTGATTGTGGGTTGATTCAGGTATAACATATATCTTGAACATGCCTGAAGAATTTTGAGATTAGCATATCTATCTAGATCAGGGGTCGGCAACCTTTCAGAAGTGATGTGCCGAAACTTCATTTATTCACTCTAATTTAAGGTTTCACGTGCCAGAATTACATTTTAACGTTTTTAGAAGGTCTCTTTCTATAAGTCTATAATATATAACTAAACTATTGTTATATGTAAATTAAATAAGGTTTTTAAAATGTTTAAGAAGCTTAATTTAAAATTAAATAAAATGCAGAGCCCCCCGGATCGGTAGCCAGGACCCGGGCAGTGTGCGTGCCACTGAAAATCAGCTCACGTGCTGCCTTTGGCACACGTGCCATAGGTTGCCTACCCCTGATCTAGATAGACCAATCTACCCTAGATAGACACATGTCCCTGTTCCCACTGTTTGGAGGGCAGCATGTTTGCTTGGCAAGGGGTTGCATGCTCTGGCCAAAATTAGCCTGATTTGTACTAAACAGTACTTTTATTCATCTGTAACTAGAGAACAAATGAAAAAATATCCTGTACAGGTTAGGAAGCCTGAAATTGTATTCAACAATAAATATTTCCACTCATGCTTTCCCTCCTTGCTCCTATTTAGGACAGATATTTTCCCACAAAAAATAAGTCTTTCAGAAAACCGGCAGCATTATTTGCTATGGATCAGAAGGCAGCTGTTGCCCCCCTCGGGGCAAGTTTTCATAGATCTATATGCTCTACTTCCTTCCCTGCCACCCCAAGACTTTGCAGGATATAATATCATCATATATATTCTATACACCAGCAGTTTTCTTTCTGAAATGACATCCTTGAATAACAGATAAGAAAACTGCTATTGTCTAACTCTGTCAAGGAAGTTAGTACACTGGTTTTCACCACAATCAGATTCACATCCTCTGTGGCCTGGGTCCAGAAGGGGACATAACACACACTGACCAATGGATTACCTGTGCAGTTCTCCTCCCTGGCTATGCATGTCTGCTCTAATCTTGGCTCCCATCGAACCGTACAAGACATTGCTCTGAGAGGGTCAGAGAACAGGGATCTCTGTGTTACCTGGTGACAAGCCCAGGCCAGGCAGGCAGGATAGGGAATACCCAAAGCTAAGGAAGATACAAATGGTGGCATGTTAAGCCCTGTGTTACCTAGGGCAGAGGCTCCCTGTACCCCAGATAAGCGATGCAGCAAAGCCCATCAGCGCTGTAGGTTAAAGCAATGATTCTCAACCAAGGGTACGTGTACCCCGGGGGTACTTAGAGAGCTTCCAGGGGGTACATCAACTCATCTAGATATTTGCCTACTTTTACAACAGGCTACATAAAAAGCACTAGCGAAGTCAGTACAAACTAAAATTTCAGACAATTACTTGTTTATACTGCTCTATATACTATACACTGAAATGTAAATACAATATTTATATTTCAATTGATTTATTTCCAAACTGTATGGTAAAAAATTAGAACATAAGCAATATTTTAGTAATAGGCTATGACACGTTTGTATTTTTATGTCTGATTTTGTAAGCAAGTAGTTTTTAAAGTGAGGTAAAACTGGGTAGGCAAGCCAAATCAGACTCCTGAAAGGGGTACAGTAGTCTAGAAAGGTTGAGAGCCACTGGGCTGAAACTCGCTCAGCCGGGATAGCCACTGTGGCCATCGCTCGGGGGCGGGCGGGCAGCTGGGGAGGGTTGTGGGCAGATGGCACCGGAAAGGAGTGTGCAGCGGGGCGGGCGGGCAGGCAGCAGTGGCCCGGGGAACGAAATGGGAGGTCAGGGGCTCTGCCGCTCCCCGCAGCAGAAGGGGAAGGATGACCGACTCTACTGTACAGTGCCCCCTGCCCAGGCGCAGCCACCGCCTCCTCCCATGGGGCTGCCCGCGCCTGCAGTCGGGAGAAGCGACCGCACCGCACCCTCCCGACCCCCTGCACGGGCGGAAGCACTTTAGGTTCCCGCTCCCCCACCAGCACCCTGGACTGAGAGCGACAACCGACCGAGGCGAGATCCCGACACGCATGCGCACCACACACCCACCTCGGGCCTTCCGGGAGACGGGCTGGGGGCCGGCACCGCGCCCAGCTCCTCACGGCGGAGCCAAGAGGGCGGAGGGGTTCCGGGCGAGGCGGGTGCGCACGCGCAGCAGGGAGGTGTTGTGTGACCCGAGCCACCCCTCCGGCCTCGCCCCGCGGGGCCATTTAAAGGCGGCGGCGGCGGCGGAGGCAGCGACTCTGTTGTACCACTGGCCGCGCAGCGCTAGAGCAGCCCCGACTCTGCCTCCCAGCCCCACTGTAGCTGCCACCATGTACCGTTACCTAGGGGAGCTGCTCGCGTCCCGCGCCGGGGCCGGCTCGGTGCTGGCGGGCACGGAGCCCAGCGCGGCGGTAGCGGCAGCCCTGTGGGGCGGCCCCAGCGGGAGGCTCCCGCAGCGGCGGCGCTACAGCGAGGCGGAGCGGGAGGACGACCCCAACTTCTTCAAGATGGTGGAGGGCTTCTTCGACCGCGGCGCCGGCATCGTGGAGGACAAGCTGGTGGAGGGGCTGCGCTCGCGGGAGAGCCCCGAGGAGCGGCGCCACCGCGTCCGCGGCATCCTCCGCATCATCAAGCCCTGCAACCACGTGCTCAGCGTCTCCTTCCCCATCAAACGCGACAACGGAGAGTGGGAGGTGATCGAGGGTTACCGGGCGCAGCACAGCCAGCACCGCACCCCCTGCAAGGGAGGTGAGCTCCGCACCTCTGTGCGCGCACATACACAGCCAGCACCGCACCCCCTGCCCGGGGGGTGAGCTCTGCACCCCCACCATCACCATACACGCAGCCAGCTCCGCACCCCCCCCCCCATTCAGACAACCGGCGCTGCACCTCCTGCAAGGGAGGGGAGAGCCCCTCTACCCTGGTATACAGACATCTAGCACCCCGACAACCTGCAAATTGAGACCCACGCATGAGATCCACGTATAGACAGAGCCATACATACTGGGGTACCCCCTGCAAGGTTCGTGAGACCTCCTCATAGATACCCAGCACTCCTCATGCATAGCCAGTACTGCACCTATATAAACTAATGCAGCACTGCACTACCTGCAGGAAAGGGGACACCCCAGCCCCATAGATTGTTGACACTTTATTTTCCATACGTTCATAGTTAGCACCCAACCCTCTGCAAAGCAGGAGAGTCTCTTTATTCATATACAGCCAGCACTACACCCAACAAACAAGTGATTAAAAGTAGAGTGAACCAGGAGTGAGAGCTTTCACTGCGCCAGCCCAGGAGGGAAGGGCAATTATTGGGGATCACTGCTGACCCAGAAATAGGGAGTGTTCTCATCTACTTTCAGCAGAGTGGGAGCTATAATTCCCCCTTGGTTATCAGCTGCTTCAAACACAGCCAGCAATATATCCACTGTAAGAGTAATGAGATACCCTCCTATACTTCACAGCTGGAACTGTACCTTGTGAAAGGAGTATGACAGAGTCATTTTTCTGTTTCTCAGCTAGTGTTGGCTCCCTGCAAAAGATAGGAAACACATACACAGCCAACATTGCACCCCTAAAAGGGAGTTCATGTTCCCAGTACTGCATATTCAACAGTGCTAGCCCTGCAGCCCCTCTAAGGCCTGGTGGGGAGCTCCTTGCCACTGACTCCCTACATCCATCCATGCATTCTCTGCAAGAGAGGCCAACTCCCATCTCTGTCCCATCCTAACCACATGCCTGCCAAAATAAGCAGTAGAATGTAAATATATATGTATTTACATAAATTCAACTGCAAGTCATTTGAAGCACATACTTCCCTATTTTTAGCTTGCATTGTAACAAAACTTCAATGGGTGGAAGAGGAGGAACTTGGCTTACATCTATGGGGCACTTAGAGCTTGATAAGCACCTTCTACAAGGGAAAATAATTTTAGTACCATATTTCCAATTATTCTGTGCTTACTAAGAAGGTGGGAAGTAGAGGGATTTCAGTTCGTTAATATTTAAATGTTCACTTAACCCCTAAAATGCTAGGGTGCTTTCAACCACTTTTCTAGTTTGTTTAGGAGATTTGATTGTGACATCCCAAGGTTATATACTAATGTCAGGGATCCAAAACAGTTCAGTTTTGTCTTGCAAAGAATGATCATTCTCATCCAGGGAATATTCTGAGCAATTCAAATTTACCCAGAGACATTCTCAGCAAATCTCAAACGTTAATATCATGAATGGTGAGATCTGAGGAAGTATGTACACTTGCATAGTTTAATTATGAATTGAAATTAGAAAGCTGTTTCTAATACATACTTTGATTTAATACAAAATCCCCTCCAGCCCAGAACAGGAAAATAGCCAATTGGTCAAGTTTCTAGGTAGATGTACAGAAAAAGCCAAAAACTAGCGTTCTTCTAGGAAAAGAACGTCACACCTTTATAAGAGAATTGAAAGGATTGTCCCACCCCAAGGCCCGGTACAGGCAACCGTGCATACCTAATACTTCCAGGGCTGTGAGCCTATGAAGCAAGACTCCCAACCATCATTAAGGACTCAACCAGTTAGTCTCTAAGGTGCCACAAGTACTCCTGTTCTTTCAGCCAGTACTATATCCCCTTGAAAGATAGTTAGACATCCTGGCTTCCAGCCTGGATCAGTCAGCACTGTGCGCTCTGTTAGGTGCATAATCTTTCAAAACAGTTACTCTGAGATCATTACAGGCGAGTATAGGACTTCAAACTAAACACCTTACCTTTGCCAGACATCTGAAATTGTAATTGTACAGAACGCACCCTGCATGTTGTGTCATAATGGACCGCCTCTTTCTGGTTGCTAGAAAAAGATTGGGGGAGTGTTAAGAACACTTACTCATCTTATAAAGCATTAAGTATAGGTGCTCTCTAGATCTGACTATTGGATTTATGCTTAGGATTCGGATTCCTTAACTTCCTCTTGAAAGACTGAGGCACTTTTCTTCTGTTTTTTGGTACAATAATCTACTTTTGAGATTTTTTTTTTTTTGCTCTGCAAGTTGGACTGTTTGCATCGTTTTTAACTCTACAGCAACACTGCAGTTTGACACCTATGTGTCAGCTGACTTGGGCACACACGGCTTAGGCTACAGGGCACTTTACTTAAGGTGTAGACATTCAGGCTTGGGCTGGAGCCCAGGCTTCGGGACCCACCCAGTCCTCGTCCTCAAAGGAAATGTGCACAACAACTTCAAAAGATGAGCATGGATGCTTAAATTCATAACTTTGCTGGATACTAAAAACTGGTCTTAATAAAGACACTGGATTTGTGTCTTCTTACAACAGTCTGTAACCCACTAACCCCTCTTTTGCCTATGTTTGCAGAGGGGTTAATGGGCCACTTAACCTTGAACGTCCCTTAGAATTTGTTTACTTATGCTATACAACCTGTTCCACCTTGTAATAGGTGTAACACTCGATACCTTTCCCAGAACTGAAGAAAAGCTCATTTCTTTCACCAACAGACGTTGATCCAATAAGGGCTTGTCTACACTTTTAGAGCGCTGCAGGAAGTACTCCACACCCCTGAGTGACCTAGTTATACAAACATGAGTTTGTAGTGTAGACCAGGGCAATAGAAATAAATGGAGATATCCGATCTCCTAGAGCTGGAAGGGACCTTGAAAGATCATAGAGTCCAGCCCGCTGCCTTCACTAGCAGGATCAAGTACTGATTTTGCCCCAGATTCCTAAGTGGCCCCCTTAAGGATTGAACTTACAACCCTGGGTTTAGCAGGCCAATGCTCAAACCACTGAGCTATTCCCTATAAGGATATTATCTTAACCACCTTGTCTTTAAATTGGTGTGGGCATTTTAAAATACATTTTCCTTTGACTCTGTTTCAAGATGTGCATTTCTGATGACTTAGGAGTAAGAAATGAGAACATCAAACTCAAAGCTCCTCTCATACAGGCAATGGCTTTATCTGCGTGGAGTCAGTGTCCCTAACTATTGCCACAACCTTGTCTGAGGCCTGGCCTACACCAGTGGTTTTCAAACTGCCGGTCACAACCCAGCTGCTTTTGTCAACCTAACTCTGTAAGTATCTACTCTAAAACGTAGCTCCCACTACACCAACTTAGTAACTCTACCTCTGCAAGTGGCCTAGCACTTACATTGATGCAGTAGACACTGCATTGCTTATATTGACTGTTGCTGCCTTTCAGAAGCTGTCCCACAATGCCCTACACTGACAGTTAAATCAGTGCAAGCGCTCCTGAAGAGGATGGACACTGCTGACACAAGGAGTATAGTGTGGACATGCAAAAGTGATTTCATTAGTTTAGTGACTGAATGTTGACGTAACTTAGGTCGACTTAATTTTGTAGTGTAGACTTGCCCTGGTGTACAGATGGCAAGTATGCTGCTTTCTCCTGTAATTGCTTCTCTGTCCTTCCTGCTTTGTAAGTTATCTGATCCATCATACTGCAGTTGTGTAGAAAGCCATTCTTTGTGTTACCGCTGTTGTTGGTCAGAGCCACATTTCTGCACTCATCATGTTAACATTTAGTTTTTATAGTCCAGTTTCAGATTCACCTAAAAAACTTCAGGTGACTTATTAAATGCGGTTATTATGAACATAATGATTTCTACTGTAAACTCATTAGCAGTATTATCCAGAAAATGTCTTTAACATCAATGTTAATAATGTTCTGTAGCAATTTACTCTGCAAGTAAATGTAATGAGGGTTGGCTGTTGGGATGTCTCCTACTATGGTAATTGACCTTTTTAGCTTGAACCTTCTACACCAGGGGTGGGCAAACTATGGCCTGCGGGCCACATCCAGCCCACCAGATGATTTAATCTGGCCCTCGAGCTCCCGCTGGGGAGTGGGGTCTGGGGCCGCGCTGCACGCACATGCTGCTGCTCCCAGAAACAGCAGCATGTCCCCCCTCCAGCTCCTATACATAGGGACAGCCAGGGAGGTCCGCACGCTACCTCCATCCCAAGCACTGCCCCCGCAGCACCCATTGGCCAGGAACTGCAGCCCATGGGAGCTGCAAGGGCGGCGCCTGTGGATGGGGCTGCGTGCAGAGCCACCTGATCGCACCTCCACCTAGAAGCTGGAGGGGGGA